TTTATCGGCAAGGCCGTCACGCCTCTCCAGTCATCCTCGTCCTCTGAGTCCTCTTCAGTCACAGCATCCACTTGATGTGTGCCTTTTTTCCCCTTTGCCTTTGTCTCTCTTCGCCTTGATCGTGTTTTACTGTTTTTTTCCTGGTTGTTGTCAACAGGTGTGTCAACATGGGCCATCTTCATACATCCTTTCTGTCACAACATGCACTCTATCCTCCCAGTATGACCAGAGTTTTCCTGGACCACCTCTTTCTCCACAATTCCTCACCAACACCCTGCTTCCTGGCTGGAGACCCGCTCCATATATTTTCTTGTCGTAGCCTTGTTTTGCTCTCCTCTGCTCTTTCTGAACTGTTCTTGATGCCAATTCCTATGCCTCTTTCATGCGCTTTCTCCATTTGGCGACATAATCACGGTGCGATATTTCACACTCCTTTGGCTTTAGACCAAACATGACATCAATAGGCAGCCTTGGGTGCCGTCCATACATGAGGTAGTACGGGGCATAGCCTGTCACTTCACATCGCGTACACTTATATGCATGGACGACCTTGTTTAGGGAGCTCTTCCAATCAGCCTTGGCTTGACTCGGCAGACATCTTAGCATTGACAGCAGTGTTCTGTTAAATCTTTCCCCCTGACCGTTTCCAGCAGGGTGGTAGGGAGTCGTGTGGGAGCGTTGGATAACACAAAGCTCTTGCATGTGGGTAAACAACTTGTTCTCAAATTCCCTTCCCTGGTCATGGTGGAGTTTAGTGGGGAATCCGTACCTGAGAACAAAGTCGCCAAAGATCTTTTCTGCCGCTGTTTTTGAAGACCTTGCAGTCCTCCAGATGCAGAAAATCCACTGAGACCAGTTCAAAAGGGTAAGTCGTCACTATGTTGACCAGTGGTGCTCTTGTTATCCTATTTGGATGCTTTCGTTTCAGACAGCTACACACTTTGGTGACATAATGTTCCACATTTGCCTGCATGTGAGGCCAATAGAACCTGTCCCGGATAAGGCTCAGTGTGCGCTCCACTCCTTGGTGTCCCATCTCCTCGTGAAGCTCCTTAAACACCAACTGAAGGTATTTTCTAGGCAGCACTGTCTGGGATCGTCCTGCTGATTGTCGACACAGTATTCCCTCCTCATCCAAGTACAACCGGTTTCTCTGCCTGTACAGAACAGTCAACTCATCGCGTCGGTCTCGCCCCACCAATTTTGGCCAACGTTCTGCTACAATGTACTCCCGTACCTTTCCAAGTACTGGATCTTGTTCTTGGGCTACTGTCAGTTCCTCAGTAGTCCCTTTAGTCACTCGTGATGTCCCTTGCTCCTGCTCTGCCTCCGAGCAAATTGTAGCTATGGTGATCGGGCACATCCAGGGCTCTTCCTCCCCCGGCTTCAGAACTGTAGGTCGGCCACAGGGGGGGCGGACTCCTGACGCGGGGCGCTTACGCGATGCCCATCGAATAGGTTGGGGGTGGCCATCCACGGGCAGCCTAAACCTCCCACGGAGCACTTATTTGGCCGGAAGCTCCCTATTGGCCCCTCTGACCGACTAAGGACCGCCCCCAGGCCCCGCACCAATTTGATCACAGACTGCCTATTCGTCCCCTTGACCACCTATTTTTGCCTCGGACAGCCAATTCATCCCACTTACCACCTATTTGACCACGAAAAGCCTATTCATCCCACTTACCACCTATTTGACCACGAAAAGCCTATTCGTCCCCAGGACCGCCCATGTGACCGCAAAAAGCCTATTCGTCCCCCTGACCTCCTCTGTTACCA